GAAATGTAATTTAGTCAGTAAGGTTATGAAAACATTATTGACTGAGACGACCTATGCCTTAATGTGCCCGATGTTAACCAAGGTAGAACTAATTTGAGGTAAGACTAATAGGTATCACTAATCCATCGAAACTTTGACTGCTAATCTATGGCCATGTAGGTTGCTTGGAAGAAGATTTGAAAATTATACGAATTACTAGTTAGAGATACTTGATGATATGGTTAAAAATCGATCATAATGACCCCAAAAAGTGTACACATTCTTTATCATTTTAACCATTTTTAACTGACATTCATTCATTTATTTGCTCCTCAGTCATACAGATTCGTCTACTTTGCTATTATTTAGTTTTCATCTACTCTGTTTATGTGCTGTTGTAAATGAAGTATGATAATTTTGAAGTAATGCGCGACTATGTTATATTCTACTCTGATCTATTTCCACACAGTTATACACTATTATTGATTAAATAATGCTGAAAACACATCGATATAACTAATTACGGATAATGAATTGTGATCAAAACCTTATTCAACGGTGAAATCACTTCCTTACAACCTGTCTTCATCTAATTCTAAAGAGAATTTTTCAACTTGTTCGTTTGTGGGGATTTATTGATTGATTTCAACTTAGTGTTCATCATAGACTGACATCGACTGGAGAAACATTAGAAACTCTGGAGTACTGGACAGCTGTTTTACCCTCGTATGGGACTTTCCAACAATATGCCCTGCCCTCCAGGGATCGAACCCAACACCAAGTTCCGCTCCCAGCACGCTACTATAAAGCCACTGGGTCACAATGCAACGGTTCATATTTCCCATTTCTGTCAGTTCACGATATAGAGCCACCTCAATTCAATGCTGTCGTTGAGTATCTCTCTATTTATCCCTTGGTTAGGTTAACCGGTCACGACTTCTCATTGCAACTTCAGAAATCATTTACTGTAGCCTTGATTTCAAGCTGATACTCATTAAGAGACTGACATCAGCTGGAAAAACATTGAAAACCTGATGTCAGTCCGTGATGAATACCAATTCGTAATCAATTAAATCCCTATAAACGTTAAACTATATTGCTGCATAGTGTTCACTAGTTATACGCTTCAAGATGGATATCCCGAGGTTTTAAAGAGAAGCTGTGACCTGTGGAATAAAGCAATCGAAAGTCAAGCGGATGTCAAATGAAGACCTTGAGTGATAGTCAGGCTATAAAGCGAATCGGCAGAAGTAGGAAACTGTGTACCACTAAATTCTTATTCAGTGACTCGATGGTTCATTCATGCTCCCGAGATCTGAAGTTCTTAAGTTCGCTCCTTGGCGAGTTCACATGTGCATACAGGTAACGGTGAATCTCTCTCTAACTGATGTCACTAGATGACGGATACCAACCAGAAATTAAGGAAAATCTTGTTAATATTCATCTATAGTCCTTCCGTCAGTTTCAATACAAGCGTAAAACTTGGGCACTGTGGTAAACTGTAATTCCATTTTAGACTGTTTATTAGAAATATCACATGCAATGAAGGAAAAGTATCACATACTAGATATCACCTCGGACACAATCTTTTGTCCATATTCACACCAAGTAACTAACCCCACAATTTACAGACACAATTTATATATTCCCAATTTTATATCCTCCTCTTCATGACAAGGGTTACAGAATACTCCATATATCTGGCACAGGTACAGAATCATTCCTATCACTGCATGTATTGTATTCCGTGTTCATTCGATAAACAAACATCCACTCAGTCGGTTATCAATCTCTCCCTCCCTACCTCCACCCAAACAACTAAATAACTTACTTTTCAACACTCTCGCTCTATACCATTCACCCTATTCTGTGATTCTCTGTAACTGCACACACACCTATAGCTCAGCTTTACTCTGAGTCACTTATCTTATTACCATCTACTAATCTTCATATACCTAACCTTTTGTGTTCTCTTATTCTAATCGACCCTAAACAGTCGACTACTTTCACCTATGTACTTGACTTCACAGTCATTCAAATGCATTTCGTAAACCAGATTCTTTTGCTTAATTACATAGATAGGATCTTTCAACTTACAAAGCTTGTTTCTAAGCCAGTTTGTTGGTTTACATATCAGCCAATTCAATCCCAGACAGCCTTATTCAGAATTCTTTGCAATACTTCTGAGTGCCCTCCTTGAATGGTAACACAGTAGAGGCTTTAAATTCTCTCTCAACCCTGTCAACATTGTTGCCATTAGTAGTAGAGCTACTATTAATAACACCTGTATTACTACTACTACTTCTACTGTTAACATTTTTATTTTCTTATGAATTTCTTTATAAGTTTTGGTGGGTAATCATTGAGACTTAAGGTGTTCTTGATGTGTCTAATTTCTTGTCGTAGATTTTCTGGACTACTACATCACGAAGAATTCTCAATAAGCCTGTCTCGGATTAAAGTGCCTGGTCTATGATAATAAGATAAAAAATTTACAGAGAAGCTCGGCTACAGCTGTGCATGCAATTACATACAATCACACAGTACTGTTAAAAAGTAAGTTAGTTGGGCGGAGGGAAGAAGGGAGAGATTAATAACCGACTGACTGGATGTTTGTTTATCGAATGAACACGGAATACAATACATGCAGTGATAGGAATGATTCTGTACCTGTGCCAGATATATGGAGTATTCTGTAACCCTTGTCATTGAAGAGGAGGATATAAAATTGGGAATATATAAACTGTGTCTCGAAGTTGTGAGGTTAGTTACTTGATGTGAACACCTACTCCTCCTCTACTCAATGCAACGATGTGAAGTATCGTATATTAAAGGTATACTCCAGTGCGCCACAAATTAAATTGTTCATATAAAAATGTTGTCCAGCGCTGACCCTTATAGACCCTTACATATAGCAATTCAAAGTTATAATTACTATTTAACCTTGCCTCTTTCAATATTCTCATTGCATTTTAAAGGTACTAGTATATAAATTCACTAAGATCGCTCATGGATAATATATCCGAAAATCAACAATTACAGGCCTTACTGAAACAGTATGAATACGTTTGGCATTAAAAGTATTGGTAGTTATAACATATCATTATTTGTCCTTGGGTTCCTGGAGGAACATAAAGCTTCACTAACACGTCACCATTTCACTCTCTTCTCTCCACTCTCTTGAACCTTCCTCCATCACTACCCAGAAGCTGCTTTCATTTCTTCCTCACACCATCTCCCCCCTCCATGTCACCGTCACCCTCAGTTGGGACGCCCAACTCCTCCTTACCCATTCACCTTCTTCCACTCGACGGTCTGGCCCAACATGGCGTGACGCGTGATGTCCCCAAACCGTCTTCTCAGTGTATCTCCAATCCTATCCTATCCATCTCCACTTTATTCTACTGCATATTTGTTGGGTGGTAGGTTGTTGGTTGACAGACAGATAGACAGACAGACAGACAGCCACAGTTCCTCCTTGCTCATTCTTATTATTCTCGCCATCTGATCTGATCTGATCTCCATCTTCACTATCGAGTGAGTGATCGTAGCTGGCAGCTGTTAATGTGATGCATGTCTGCAGTTTGTTGGAAATACTTTTCGTAAGGCGCCAAGTCTCTCAATCATCACATAGAAGTACTGACTGACTTGAGTGACATTAGTATTGAAAATGTGGATGTTGTTCACGCTATATGCTGAGTGGAGTGAGGTGGAGTGCAGTAGATCTCCACACTGATTTCAGATTGATGAAGGCCTGTCTTTCTTAAATATGATTTAATTCTTAGACTATGTCACATCGGTGGTATGATCAATCTTCTTGAGGCTACTCACTGTTTCTGTACACCAATCAACCTAAGTTCTACTAATCGATCAGATCTCAACAAGTTAAGCAATAGAAGAAGATTGGGGTTTTGATTGGCCTTGTACTAAATGATCTTATCAACCAATCAAATCTAACAGACATTCACTTGATAACTAACTACATGTACCTCAAGAACAGATGTCTATAATAAGTGGGAAAAAATATTTAGAAAAAATGATGAAGATTTATTTATACTGCGTGATGACTGAAGGTGAAATGAAAATTTGGACCACAGCCGGATTCGAACCGGCGACCACAAAGCTTCCGGCCTGATGCTCTACCAACTGAACTATGAGATCCAACTGCTCACCATATTTTTACTTCACATCAATCGCGAAGGATTGTTTTGCCTGACTATCATGTGAATTCGTAACGCGTTACTGCCACTTGATCCTATTCAAACTAGTTGCCTAGTCAGGACTTCTCATCCCAATCCGGCCGCGGTTCGAATTTTCATTTCATCTCTAATCATCACCCAGTATCAATACTAACTAGTCTGCCAAACCACGGCTATCTCAGATTGTCGAATGATAATCAATATGATGCTCCATTTCTCTAGTTCAGTTAGATTTTGATTAGGATGAGAAGTCCTGACTAGGCAACAACCAGTGTGAATATGATCAACCGATAGTAACGGGTTACAAATTCACATGGTAGTCGGGCAAACAACCCTTGGTGATTGAAGTGAAATAAAATCAATCTGGTCAGCAATCGAACTTTGTAGCTCACAGTTGGCACAGCATCCGACAGGAAACTACGGCCATCTCAGATAGTCAAATGATAGATTTATTTATCAGAATTCAGTAGATGAGTGCAATCTTATGCAGAAATATGCAGAGTATAGTCTATTTTCAAGATTGAAATCAGCTACTTAGCAATATCTTAGACAGTTACTCAACACATGTGATCATTTCACAACATCGAAATCAGTGGATGATATACATTTCTGCTTACCATCAATTATTAGAGTCTTTCCAAAAGGAAGGGCAGGGGAGCTAAATAAAAACATCACAGGCAATATTTAACGTCAAATAAACAACAGACTGAAAGCCTACATGTACCCATTCAAAGTTATTCAATCAGCTTTTACTTCGGCAATAATTAAACTTTATGCGAATTCGATAAATAGACAGACAGTGGATTAAGCAACAGTACTTACCTTCATTTAATTGCTCTTCACTGAATAATGATAAACCGTGAAGAGATGAATTCGATGATGATGATGAGTGGCAAGTGATTATCGTTTGATTTAGCATTACTCTTGATGGTATTACAAGTGTATCTGTTGTGACACTATTTGATAAGGCATTGATTAAGCGGACAGGTTCATGTTCAGATTTCCATATAGGATCAAGTAATAATTCATCTTGTATCATCATTTCCCCCATTGTCAATTGTGGGAAATGATTTGTCACCAGTCTAGGAAAGAATAAAGGTAAACAAAAGAAAAATATGTGTATCTAGGAATAAATAGAATAAAATAATGACAGGTGAACAAATCAAATTAGAAATCTAGCACAGAAATGTATCGGTTCGAAGAAGTGGGCAGAAAAAGTTATGTTAAGATAGATAGAAGAGTAAAGAACTTCAAGGAATAAATAGATGGTTGATGAAAACATTCAAGATTTTAAAGATGACACATTTATGATTGGTTTTCAGCAGTTTTACTAACAGTCATCAAACAATTATTCCTATTGTCTCGAAAACCCAAGTTAGGAGGTCGAAGTAGCTGCTGATGGTTGCTTGGCATGCACAAAACACATCCAAGTCACAGCCAGTCATGAAAATGATATTTGTTGATTGACAATGAGTCGAGCTACAATCGATTAGCTCAAGATATGATAGTGAAAATGCTGATTATTACTTTATTATTATTATTTGTCCCTTGGGTTCCTAGTGGAATATAGAGCTTCACTAGCACGTCACCATTCCACTCTCTTCTCTCCACTCTTTTAAACCTTCCTCCATTACTGCCCAGAAGCTGCTTTCATTTCTTCCTCACACCATCTCCTCCATGTCACCCTCACCTCAGACGCCTAACTCGTCATTTACCATTTGGATTCCATTAGGCGGTCTGGCCTGGCGTGGCCTGACGCCTCATGTCCCCAAACCGCAGGCTAACCATAAGATAGTGTACTTTTAAGGTAATTAAGGTGAGGGAATCTGCGAAATTCTCTCTATCTTACAAGAGAATGATACTGATTGCCTTTTTGCTTCATATTTTAGACAGTTTAATTAATCAGCAATTCTATAAGTATCGTCCTAGTATAGGACTTCTAGGTAGTGAGCACCTATGAGTTGAACCGAAGATCTTCGAGCTTCATCGCAAGCATGTTGTCATTGTGTTAGCGGGTCAGCAGCCAATGATCAGTACACATTAGTTACTTCCTACAAGATGAGATTTCCTCAAGTTCTAATGAGAAGTCTTGATATATGGGGTCAACCAATTCGAATGTGAGCACAAATACTCAACGACAGCATTGGATGAAGGTCATGTTATATCGCGGATTGACAGTAATAAAAAAAAATGTCAACTATGGAGTCGAGGACAAAATGCTCACCGCGAAACCTGAATTTATTTACTTCCTGAGGGTGTGTGTGTGTACACTGTTGACAAGGCCAATAGTATTAACACAAAAAACATGCTCAATGCCCCTAGATGTCATTTTGTGATGAATACCAATCTGAAATCAATAAATTCCCATAAACATCCAAATTGAATAAGTCTTTTACTCAAGTATAGAAGGCAGCTAGTGCTCAAGAATATAGAACAACAACGAAGAACTAGTAGTTATACATAATAATAAGTATTGGTAGATGTGAGAAACATCTAGTAAGTGTTTAACGACGTAGGTTACATGCAATCAATGTCTAGTTTTGTGTGTGTTACAGCATGCTCTTGTCCACCCCCAAGAAAATATTATGCAGCATTATCCTAGAGAGAGAAAACAATGCTCTGAATTCAAAATTATGACGGAAACAGGCTTGCTGGCTTCAGGAAGAATATATCATATGCGGATCAAATTTCAATGCTACGCTAGGCATCGTCATAGAACAGAGCATATAATGAATAGCAGTCAACTCTTTACCTCAACTTCATACACCTTGTAAACGCCTTTCGTAGTGTCAACCGAGTTCTTTGGCAGCTACTTGAAATCCATGGTTTTAGTGCCGCAAACCTTTACAAACCTCATTCAACAGCTACATGTTATATGACGACGCTACATGCGAAGTGATTGACAATGCAAAGCTCAGTGATGCCTCTGAAGGGAAGACAGGAGTAAGACAAGGCTGCCTACTATCACCCATGATCCTCTTGATTGTGCTGGAATGGATAATGCAACGAACTGTGAGAAGCGAGAAGAGGGGGATAAACTGGTTGGACCGATGAAAACACCCTACAAGATTTCCATTTCATCGATGATGAATTATGTCTAATATCACACAAACTCGGAGATCTACAGGCAAAAACTAACAAGTTGGCAGAAGAGGTGAGGCGATGCAGCGGAGGAAGACGGAAATTCCTTCACGTGAACGTAGAAAAGACAAAGATGATGAAGATACCCAACCAACAACAACCAGCGCCAATCATCACCAACGGGAGAAACCTAAAGTAAATTGCATCTTTCACCTACCGACCTAGGCAGCATCGTTTCAACTACAGGCGGCACAGGCATACATAACGATGTCAAAACCAGCCAGGATCAAAAGACAGCACGACAGGTCTTTCTGCATTAATCTGAAATCAATGTGGAGATCTACTGCACACCACCTCACTCCACTCAGCATATAGCGTTAACAAATCCACATTTTCAACACTAATCTCACTCAAGTCAGTCAGTACTTCTATGTGATGGTTGAGAGACTTGTCGTGTTACGAAAAGTATTTCCAACAAACTGCAGACATGCATCACATTAACAGCTGCCAGCTACGATCACTCACTCGATAGTGAAGATGGAGATCAGATCAGATCAGATGGCGAGAATAATAAGAATGAGCAAGGAGGAACTGTGGCTGTCTGTCTGTCTGTCTATCTGTCTGTCAACCAACAACCTACCCCCAACAAATATGCAGTAGAATAAAGTGGAGATGGATAGGATAGGATTGGAGATACACTGAGAAGACGGTTTGGGGACATCATGCGTCACGCCATGTTGGGCCAGACCGTCGAGTGGAAGAAGGTGAATGGGTAAGGAGGAGTTGGGCGTCCCAACTGAGGGTGACGGTGACATGGAGGGGGGAGATGGTGTGAGGAAGAAATGAAAGCAGCTTCTGGGTAGTGATGGAGGAAGGTTCAAGAGAGTGGAGAGAAGAGAGTGAAATGGTGACGTGTTAGTGAAGCTTTATGTTCCACCAGGAACCCAAAGGACAAATAATGATAATAATAAAAGTGTTACCATTGAACTTTGTTCCATCAAAACTGACTTTTGTGTTTTATGCTGCTTGACTCGATAGGAGGATTTACACAGAGCTTAAATTGATCAGTTAGCGAGGGATCATTAACTTCAGGCTAGTTTTGTGTCATATAAGACAACTGTACGCTGTATCTACAGCGCCTGTAACAGTGGAAATCATTCACTAGCTAGTTATATACACCGCACAAAGCGCGCTCTTTTTATGCACTATCCAGCATGGTTGTCAAGAGGGAAGGCAAGTCAACTAACGATTCATTTCGTAAGCATTTGGTCAACTGGAGACATAAAGTGCTCAACTAGAGTCCTTCTTCAGTGTTATTTACAGAGGCAAATGAAATAGTTGAAAAAAGAGTACGCTTTCAACAGTTATGCACTATGACAGAATCATTGGTAATTCATTAGGTTAAACGTGATCTCTTTGTGCAGGAAAGTTTGTTCAGTTTCTTATCACCTTTATTGTGACCCTTGTCTTTTTCTTTACCTACTTTATACATCTATCAACTAAACACTAACAATTATTTCATATTTCACATGTACCAACAATTTTCACCTTATCAAACTCCTTGCCTTTATGATTACTTCCATTGTCTAACAAATTTTAATGTAACTCCAGTCTTCATCTCAGTTGTTAGCACTATTCTTGGTTGTATTGTGTTTTCCAAGCTGGCTTGTTTAATTCTGAAGCTTTCATCATCCTTCGAAACAGCAACATCATCAGCACTAACTTCAATATGAATTACAACATGTCAATATCTCTACCTGACTCAGTCATTTAGTGGCTTCCTCTCACAATGTGGCCTGTCATTCGTTGTACCCTTCGATTCTTATCTATACATCTCTCCATTCACTGAATGACTGACTAACTAACTAACTAACCTGAATCCAAAGCTTCTAGGAATTCTTCGATATTCTTTATGTTTCCTCTCTCAATCCAAAATTCTCTACATTGTCGAAATTGAATTCACCTACACTACATAGTTATCACCCACGTGCATTGAAATGAGTAACAATAAAATGTCGTGTGTGATGTTTAATAGCCAATTGGTGCTCATGTAGACGAACGAGAGGAGGGTGGCCGCTTTCTCCAATCGACTGTTGACTACAATTAGTTATTCCAGTGGATTTTGTAAATCATATTCAGTTTGTCTTCTTTGGTTGTCACATCCTTTGGTCTGCATAATAGAGTTTGGAGGGAATTTGTTCGTTTATGAGCCACACCAATTCTAAGTGGTCTCAATAATCTTGTTGTGATTTCTGATATATTCTTTATGTATGGTAGGATGATGCGTTTGTTGAATTCTGCCGATGACTTTATAGTTGATGATGCATGGGATAGACATCTGATAAAGTTTTATGGTCGGCCGTTCTTCTATAGGGTTAGCACTATCTAGCTGAATGATGTAACTACACCGTATTGTTCATTAATAGACTATTATACGTTTGTGATATATATATTTCGTAATGAGTAACTAGTTAGCATTGATGAACTCATTCTTTACAAGGCACTGAATGTTGACGAATCTACTTATATATATATATATATATATATATATATATATATATATATATATATATATATATATATATATATATATATTAGATATGTGTAGGATTGAAGGTGTGTATATCGAGAGATAAATCTATGCAACAACACTATGGGAAGAATTAAACTGTTGTTAGAAACCAGTAAACATTCATCGTACAGAAGAAGGTGAGCCACATGTATTTTGTGAGAGTTAATAAGACTACACCCTGGTTCCTCGAACTTCAATCTGTGGAGCAGAGCTAGAATCAGTAACTCATTGGTTAAAGTCGTCTTTAAATCGAAGAGGTAACTCCAGATATTGCCTTTCAAAGTTCCTTATAGCTGAATAAAACAGTGTCTAGGAATTTTCCTACTTCTTTTAATTCATGATAGAATTCAACTATCAGTTAATGTCATCAGTCAGTATTTCTCTTCATATCTAACTTTGTCAACTCGAAAAGTCACGATTTCACATCAA